ATTTGTGTGTAGTTGACTTTTTTCAAGATGTTAATTTTTCTTGCATTGTTTTATGGTTGTTGTTATTTACTTAGTTAAAATGATTAGTCTGGATAGTTGAGTGAGCTAAAAGCCTTAGTAGTTGGAAATAATTCTTGTAGAATTGCTCCTAACTCCCTAGTACTGTGAGCCACAATGAATAAGAGAATTGGGATAAAATTTAAAGCATAAGTTAGAATCTCATCACTTGCAGTATGAAATTTTGAGTTATGTTTAAAACTTGGATGCAGTTAAGGTTCAAATTCCCCATGCAATCACTAACTATAATTTTTTAGCAAGTATGCTATTTAGGGATTGGTGATTTATTGGGTAATTTCTTTCATTCGTTGTTTCTTTGTTCATCAAGTCTGATTGGTTATAAATAGTGTGTTATATAAAGTGCTTTTTAAAGAGAGTAATGAGAGTCTCCAACGAACTTATCAGGGGATTATCAAGTGTTTATTGTTGTGTGACTATTTTCATTAGTTTGAGATATTAATAAAGTTGCTATTTTGAATTGAGTTCTTTGTTCTCTCCTCTCTCTCTCTCTCTCTCTCAACACACACAGATATATATATTGTGTAATTGTTTTATGCCTTCAATTATATATTTCTGCGCTTTATTATTAGTAGAACTCATAAAATTTTGGAATTTTCCAAATTAACTGCGTGTTGTTAGACCTTATATTCCAAGCACATGAAGTCATGCCTTCAACTAATTAGCTAAACAAAAAACAAAAGATAAATAAATAAATTTATCAAATGAGGTCATAATAGCAACCGAACGCCAGCCCAAGTCAAATTACATAAATTAGGTTTTAATAGCATGAAAATGAAAACGTGGCTGGCAGTGTTGCTATCCTTCATAAGGAATAAATAAATAAATAAAGCAAGTCATTTTAACAGTCCAAAAAATGCCCCAAACAATCTATCTTTACTCAATATGGTTGAAAATAACGTTAGTACCTGTAATCTAAAAATCTTTAACAACTAAATGCAAAAGTTGCCCCCAATACAAAGTTAATTATCATTTTTGCATTATTCTTATGGAGATGTCTACACTGTTTACTACAAAGTCTTGAAAATTATCCCCAGAACAAAAGGGAGAAGAACAACTCTAACGATGTTGTAATAAACTCCATCTAAATAATGTTTAATAAACCCAAAAATAATAAATAACTCCAAATGTGGTGTTTGGCATATCTTAAGAATATTCTTTGGATTTAAGTTTTGATTCGGTGACACTCGAAATATTTCGACTTTTTATTTGCTTTTTTTTTTTTTTGCTTTAAAATGTAACATTGGAGAGACCAATTCAGTGGTAAAAGGAGGGAAAGTTTCCTTCTCTAATTTTTTGTCCTTCTTACAATTGGTACACTTAGGGCATTTCATGCATGCTCTTTACTTTCATCAGTTTTGGTTAACATTAGACTCAAATGGAACAAATATAAGAACATAGGGTTCAAAGTGTTCAATATGAGTTTAGAGTGCAAAGTGAGATCATATACAATTTAAAGGGTGCAAATTAAAATCAAATAGAAATTAAAGAGTGTAAAATGGAACTAGACTTTTTATTATTGTGTACACACTCCTATTAGTTTTGCTTACAATTTTAACTATTGGCCTCAAATGGGAAAAATATGAGAGTTTAGTGTCCAAATTGTTAAAAATTTAAAATTGAAAATTGAAACGCAAAGTGAAAGCTAGCTACAAGTTAGCAATCCAAAGTGAAATTAATCCAGTTTTTCTGTGTCCACTAAGGATACTTTGAGTACATGGAATTCGATCGATAGGCCACATTATAGCAGTTTGCGCAATTTGAGGTACAATATCGAAACTTTTTTAGTTTGAAGAGCTAAAATAAATGCAACCCATCAATTTGCGAGTTGGATACTTCACTTCGCACAATAAATAAAAACTAAATTGAATCCTTTCTTCAATTTTGCACATAAAATACACAAAAATGCTGTTCTCGTGATTCCTAAAGAGAAATATATGTTGCCCCCCAATGTTTGGCAACTATACAATTTCAGTCTCTAAAATTTTGAAAAAAAAAAAAGGTCCCCAATATTTGGCACATAATGCAAATTTTGTCCCAAAAGTTATAACAAAATTTGGTCCTCGGTATTTCCAATTTGAAGCAGATTTAAGACAATTGTCTGATTTTTCAAATTATTAACAAGATCACGTGTTTTGTAAAGTTTTACTTATTATAAAATCGAATCAAAACAGCAACTAACATTGAAGAATAAAGATAAGCCACGTGATAGCATGTAAGTAATTAATTAATCAAGAAACAAAATAAAAATTAAAACTATACATAAAAATTGAGAGCTAAGATTTTTTGCTTGAGGCAATGCGGATAGCTATACCTGGCAATTGGGCGGGTTGGACGGGTTTTGGGTGGGTTAATATTGGGTTTTCATTTAAATGGGTTATACCCAATCCGTCCAACTTAAACTTGGGTTAATTTTGGATTGGGTTATATTGGGTCATCACAAAACCATGACCCAAATATGACCCAATATATTAATTTAATAGATTTTGATACATAAACTCTCTCAAATACATTTTCGCATACAACAAAAAAATTTTACACACATAAACACATTTTTATATAGATAGACATATTTTCACACACTGAAACACTCACGATACATACACACACTCACTTCTTAAATTCATTTGAAATACATTAGTGTGTTTGGATAGTAAATTATTTGAGATAATTTTGTGAAAAAAATACTGTAACATTTTTTTGATGTGATGTATGTGACATAGAAAGGTGATTGAAAAATGTGTAGATGATACAAGCAAATCAATGTGTGTAAATAAGGTGTAAATAATATGCATTTCAAACACACTATTTTTACGCATACAAACACACTAAAATACATCCTAATATACTTTTACAAATACACGCACATATTAAATGTTTAAACTCTAAAAAGGTTAGCGAAATTGTTAGAAATCTCATCTCAGGAGAGGTTTCTGGAATTACGCCATATAAAAACGATGGCAAATTGGACCAAAAGCAGCAGCATAGCCTGCTTCCATACATTGACCGCTTCCAAACTTTAAAAATTTGTTTTTTTTCCCTTTTTTTTTAAGAATATACGGGACCAATTCCCCCGCAGTGACAGTAGTACTTCGTAAAAACAAGAAATGAGTAAACATTAATTAATTATTAGGCTACGAAATACTAGATTTAGCAACTAACAAACAAATAATAAGAAACTAGATTTAAATTCTACAGGTCGACAACTTCCTAATGACCTTCATTGAGCAAAAAAATTAATTTGTTTATTTTTTTTTTGACTTAAGTTGCGTAATGGGTGCCCAACACAAATACCCAAACTGCCCAAAATATATGTGGGCTTTTATTACCCAACCCAAATTTGACCCAACACCCAATTTACCCAACCCAATCTCTCAAATTAGTGGGTGGATTGGGTGGGTTATTGGGTTTTGGGCATAATTGCCAGCTCTAGGGATAGCTAATGAAAATGAGTTTTGGGTCAATGAATTGGGTGCTCTAACTGGTTTGAATTTTGTAGTTTAACGAAAAAAATAGCTTTTATAGGTTAATTGATTAGCACGTAAGTTATTAGTCCTTAATCTTGCTGTTTAAAATTAGGTGCTACTTTATTTTTTGCTTTTTAAATTTAATTTAACAGACATATAACTGTACGTGACTCAATTTTTTCAATAATTAAACAAACTCTTCAGATATCTTAAATTTGCTTTGAATTAGATACAACAGGGACTAGATTTGTTTTTACCAAAATATCAAGGACTAAAATTGCACAAGTACTAAATATTGGTTGCCAAAACTACATTTTTCCCCAAATCCTAGTACTTGTAATAAACAATAAACTCCTATTATTTAGCGGCCACTCACGTCCAACACTAAAACAAATTTTATATTTTTACTATTATAATCTAAAGAGATTCAGGGCTTTCAATTTTAAATTTGCTTATGGAATTTATTAAAAAAAAAAAAAGAGCATAATCCTCAATGATCGGAAACCATTTTTATCAATAAAAAAAATCCCAGCAACCAAAAAAGGAAACTTTCCTAAACATTACTTCCGCAAACTAACACAACGGTAATATGACCTTCCCGAATCCGAATAGAATTCAGGATTAAGAGGTTTCCGGGTTTCAGTTTTAAATTTGCTCTTGGAGAAAATGGAATGAAAAATGGTTACATTTTCTAAATATAGTTCTCAAAATATTAATACGGGCAACAAATTACCTTTAGGCATTGAACATCAAGTACTATTACTAAAATCCCAGAATCCCAGAACCAGAAAGCAAAAAAGGAAACTTCCAAAACTATTACTCCCACAAACTAACATAACGGTAATATGCCCCACCTGAGTCCTAATAGGATTCAGATACCAACTTAAACTATCCAACACAAATAGCTGTATAAATTCTGAATCCTCACATTGCCGCAGAATTTCTTCGTAGGAGTCCTTAAACCTAGTTTTCTTTTCAACATCAGCAGCAGTTGTTCTTGAGAAGAAGACGAGAGACAGAGATTTCTGATCACTGGGCTTCATCATTCCAGTCCGTTTTAGGTTTTCTTCAATTATTTCTTTTCATTGTTAGTTTTAAGTAATCATTAATAGGAAGAAATCGTAGTTCTAGCATCTAAGTTGGTGGAAGGGAAGATCAAGAATGGGGGTTCTGAATTTCCGCCGACGCCCTCGATAGAGCAAGTATCCTCAAAGATCAAAGTTCGATTCCGCTCAAGATGAGGAGATACTTTGTCCCGTGATTGAAAAAACAGTACCTTTCAAGAAATCCATTGTGAATAAGGGTAAAAAGGAAGTTCTTTTGGCAAGAACTACTGGAATCAGTTCCCAGAATCACAATAATCTACGCAGAACCAGGAAAGGTTCCGCTGATGATCTTTCGGGATTTCGCACATTGACTGAAAAAACAGGGAAAAATTGGGAGAATAGAGGTAAAAGAATGGTTCAATTGGCAAGAGATACCAAAATCAGTTTGCCCATTCTTGATGATCATCAGCTTCTCGATCAAGAACCATTCTTGAACGAAAAATCAGCGGCCACACAGGAATCTACTGGGCAAAGCAAGACGAAGATTACTTTTAAGAAGAAACTAGTTGTAATGATCGATATTCCTGATCGAGTGACGAAGCAGAAAACAGGCGATATTTGTTCTCTTCCGTCAGAACAGAACCAGCGGGAACAACTTCCACTGGAGTTGAAGAAGTACGTAAAGGAACTTGGGGCAACAGGGGAACTTGTTTTGGTGATTGAAAAGAAATTGTCTTCTTCAGACGTGAACACTGGGCTTCAAAGATTGTCGATTCCGGTAAAACAGGTTCTGAATCACGGGTTCTTGACAGAAGAAGAGAGGAGCAGATTCAACATTGATAACAAACAGCAAGAAATTAACGCCCTCTTAATTGAGCCATCACTTGCTCAATCAGGAATCAAGTTCAAAAAGTGGTATATGGGGAACTCTGAAGTGTACGTGTTGGTGAGTGGCTGGAATGAGGTTGTGAAGAGGAATGGATTGAAACCAGAAACACCAGTGCAGCTATGGTCATTCAAGAAGGATTCACAATTGTACTTTGTTTTGGTGCGGTTGTAGTGGGGCTGCTCTGCATAGCGATGCTTAATTTGTAAATTACATTCTTGAATTTTGACGTAATTAACTGCAGTTTAATCATGTTAATGTAGGATGAAAATTATTTTCTTTGGCTGTCTCGAAAGTGATGGATATATATAGATAGATAGCTAAATCTAGATCGATCATTCATATATGTTTGTACTTATAGAAGATTAGTAATATTTCATGTGTTCTTTGTCCGTGTATATATTTTCCATAATATAGTTTTCTAAGGTACTAAATTTCTAAGATGTAATTTCTTTTAATGGTTTCTAAGTACTACAGTGATGTCTTCGTGTATTCCTTTTGCTTATGTGGATGTTTCGTTTGATGTCATTTGAGTTAAAATTTTTCAATTTTTTATTAATTAATTGTTCTCCTTCATCTGATTTCATGATTATATTTTCAGTTTTAGTCGATTTTTTTCATTTTTTTTGGGTGTTCAATTTTCTTTTTCCGAATTTTTTGGGTGTTAATGTTTGATAGTGCTATTTCAGTTAGGTGTTAATGATTAATAGTGCTATTCGCAGCTAATTCATAGCTAAGCAGCTACTGCTTACTAAATCATCAAGAGGCTTCAGAGCCAGTATTCTATACAAGAACTAGGAAGATTTAACTCTGCACGTTTGATGTCATCTTATGATATTTTCTTGAGAATAAAATGAAAAACTAGAAAGGAAAGAGGAAAATCCAAAATTAAAAGAATTGAAAGACTAAAAAAAATTGTATTTTAGGAAAGCGATTTGAATATTTTTTTAATCATTTAAGGAGAAGATAGATCTCTGCAATTTCTCTTTTTTAATTTCAATCATTAAGGTGAAGATTTTTGTGGGAAAGAGGAAGAATTAAATAAAGAAGAAAGAGAAAAAGAAATAAAAGAAAGAAAAATAAGGTAAATAAAAAGTCAAAATAATGCAAGGGTAATTTTGTCCTAAAGGGGGTTAAGTGAGCAAAATTAAAGGTTAGAGGGTAAACTGAGAAATGAGGTATTCTTTAAGGGGATAAAATGTGATTAACCCTATTATGAAATGCAAAGACATAAAGAAACAAGCATTTTCACTTAATTACTTGGGCCAAACTTGGACTTTAGGTGCTTCCAATTTTTCCTTCTATTTTTTTCCCTATCTCTCGGTCCGGTACAAAAGCCCAGCTTCTCTTAGCATAATACGTTAATTGCATGTTACTTCCAAGACAAAACATGCAACAACAGCATTTTTGCACTATACAATTGTCCTTTTTTAATCTTTCCAGCTTTTCTACAAAGTAGAGACCTATGAATGAGAAAGGACAAGAGAAAAAAGACATACCAAGGTGTTGGAACAGATGATGCAGAATCCAACTCAGCAACCCCGTCTTTCCACTTCTTCAGCAGCCAAACAGAGTATACGATCATTGCAACTAGTGTTGTTCCTCTCAGATTTAGCCGTCCCTTTCTTCATTTTTTTTTCAATTTCCCTTTCGCCCTTTTTCCCCTCCTTCACAGCCAGATTGAAGACCCCCTCGCCCGGTACAAATGATGAAGAAATTGAAGACCCCTTCAGCTCCAGATGTGATATTCAGCAGTCACCTTCATTCTTTCTTTCGCTTTCCCTTTCCCTCTGCTGTCTCCCTCCCTCTCTGCCGTCACCCTCTGTTTTTCTCCTCCCCTTCCTTCATAGCCGGACGATGAAGAAATTGAAGAACCCCTTCAGCTCGCTTCTCCAAATAACTCCAGATACTGCTGTGACTCTCGTTCTTTCTTTTCCCTTTTCCTTTCTCTCTGTATTCTCCTTCCCACTCAGTAAAAGACACACAGAAATTGATGGTATGTTTCTCCCTTTCCCCTAAATCTTGTCTTTGTGGCTAAAAAAGAAAACAAGAATGCATGGGTGGCCGACTCTCTCTGTTCTTGTTGCTGTTTATGATTTGACCGGTTCATATCTGAGTCAAATCCAAGAATTTGGCCGGTATCCTTCTACACGGTTCTAACTCGGTCAATATCGACTGATTTGGAGCGATTCAAATTGGATATGGTATAATCAGCGTTTCGGGCATCAGTATCGGAACGGTAGGGACTGTTCGGGTTATGACTCGGCCGGGTTGGCGAACCATGGTATATAGTCAGATAAACGTTCTCTAAAAGCAAGGCTTTATGCTTACCCCAGACTACTTTAAACCAGGGCACTTTAGAATAAGTTTGAACAAGCTCACTTATGGCACAATCGACTGTGTAACCTCCATTTAAACAAGGCAACCAGTAATGAGTCTTCAAGACCAGAATTTGGCAGTACATGAGGCCCCTTAGGATGCCATACCACAAGAAAGTGGTTTTGTCATTACAAACAATCAAACTGGGTACATTCCTTTGCAACAGGCCTCAATTTAAGAAGCCTGTGCCAATTCCAAGAAAACGAAGGCTTAGCTATAACATTTAAACACAGGATAATCTATTTACACATATTATTGTATCTGTTACCAGAAGTTCTATCACTGATCAGTTGTGTCATTTGAGATCTTGTTATTTCACTTTGCTAATGTAGAAACTTTGATAACTCACAGAGTATGGCACTCCTGGTGCCTCTCTCTCATTTTATCCGTCAGAAACTGAACAAACCATTTGTCTTTGTGTGTTTGGAATAACGAAACTGAACAGGACTGAACGAAGTAATGTCATCGGGAGCTACTTAAAGCTATTGACATAATCTGGAAGTTATATCAGGGTCAACAGACAAATCTCAAACTACATGGTAAATAATCCTGTCACACTAACTCGAGCATCTGAATTAAGTTTCAATAAACCATGAGGTGGTTTTTCTCAGACTACAGCACAACATGATAACTTCTTTGGATTTGACAAAACATATCGCACCAAATAACAATCCGAATCACCTCTAAAGTGGGAGCTGCTTAATCAGCCAGAAATTCCAAACTATTCTAATAATCGATCAACCTGCCATACTATGTTGTCCATGCCCCAACTTACATTTCAAAAACGGCTGTGATTCCTCACTAATCATAGAAACCAACAGACCACTACTGATATGAAAACATGAATATGATCCTTTGATGCTCTGTGATTTGAGAAAATCAAGGGACAAACAATGCTTTCAAGCTCGTGCACCTACATAACAAAAATCCAAATCTGCTCAAGAACCTTCTTCATACTTCATTTGCAACTGGCCCCTCTAAAAATAAATGCAAAGTTGTTTCCTCCGTAGCACGACAACAATCACAAATGGAAGGAATGCTTAGGCCTCGTGAACGTAAAGTAAGATCCAGTGGAAGAAAATTATGCACCAAACGCCATGTAAAAAATGATAACTTCAGTGGTAGAATCGGGTTCCAAAACAGAGAATCCACAAGGGATATCCTCCTTTGCCGCAACAGTTCCATGCTAATTTCACTGAAAAAAAGACCAAGTTGGAAGGAAACCATATCATTCTATCAACCTGATCAGGTTGAAAAAAAAAACCTCTTGGATAGCCTGTACCACATGAACTGGCACCCACTGTAAAAGGCATTGCTCATTCCAGGCCTCTCCTGAAACGAACTCAGCCACCAAAAAATGTGGTGACTCAGATCTATCCAAAATGGAACACAGTGGCTCATCAAATAACCATCTATCTTTCCAAAAATTCACCAATCCCTCCCAACAACCATCTAATATTCTACTCCACCAAGTGTTGCATCTCCTCCAAATGGCTCCATAACACTGTAGGACAAGGGAAGGAGGTTGAGACCGGATGAAGACCTTTTTATGTATTTTTCTTGCATAAAGTCAGCCCAAATAGACTCCTTAAACCGAAGCTTTCACCAAAACTTGCACGCAAATGCTCAAGACATATCCTCAAATGACTGAAAGCCTTGACCACCCTTCTTATCCCAAGATGACCACATTAATCTTGATATGAGGAAAATATGGTTGTAGGAGAGTGTTAAATATTTTTTGACTGTATGAGTTGCTTACTTATGGAGTTAGATTTAGGTGAGAGATTGAATTGAATACGATTAAATTTGAGTAGAATTGTCTCTCCTTTACTAGACGTTATGAGCATTTTGGTGTAATTTGAATGGTTACATAATGATTGATTATCAAACCATGGGGTTTGAATTTGAAAAAAAATATGTGTTTTAGATTGACACTTGAATCATTGGTTTTGTAGTTTAATGATATTGCTTGAGAACAAGCAAGGATTCAAGTGTGGAGGAGTTGATAAGTGCTAATTTTGTGATTAGTTTGAAAGTGTTTCATATTGTTCTTGAGTCAATTTGTGGAGTTAAAAGATATAAGTTGCTCCTTTTGGCTTTTAATTTGCATCTTGAGATCATAGTTGAAGTAGTTGTGATTATGTTCGGTGCCAAACCAGAAAATATAAATATTTCTGCTCCAAAAATCTAAATTCAAGTATAATGGTAAATAGGGTAGAATCATCAGGAATTGTGTTATTTATTTTTCTTATAAAAATGACAATAAATGAAATGGGGGTTTTAAGTAAATTTATCTAAGGTTGCATTTGATAAAACTGAAGTCTGAAAGCTGAAATCTGAAATTTAAAGCCTAAATCCATTGAATTATTAAATTGTTAAGTATTAAATCAAATACGCTTGAATGTATATCAAATTCAATGATAAATAAATAACTTATCACTTATTTTTGGGAACAAGTTTTGCCTAGAAAGTTCAATACCACTTAATTAATTCAAATGTTCAATTTTTAGTTATCAAACACATTTGAACATATTAAGATGTAAATCTATTAAATTTAAGTGCTGAATGAGATTATCAAACAGGGGCTAAGTAACTTAAGCGATGAAAAATAATAATGCAAAATTGAATAAAAATAAACCAATATCAAACAATTCTCTAGTCTAAGGTTCAATCGCCACTTTGGTTCATTTAGTGATCATTGATGCTAAGAAATAAATCATTATTTATAAACAAATTGATTATGGTTGTCAACAAGCTCTGACTACCTGTCTCTCCTTACTTTGTCGATAACCACAATAAATTCTGTGATTATTTCCCTTACCAATTAAGTAACCCTAAACAAGCTTTTAGGATTTAACCTGTTGACAGTATTAAATATTAGAAAGACTACCAGCCCTATCCAACAAATACATAAGCTCGATTCATTTAAACTAGATTATATATTCTCGTGATTATAATTCAAAAGTTTCCATTTCAATCAAATTACACTACAAAAAAAAAAGATTTCTAGTGACAACAATATTTGTCAGGAAAATATACGTATTTTGTCAGGAAAAGTTTTCGTGACACCAATGTCGTCAGAGAAGATTAGTCACCTATACGCCGTCGGCAAAAGGTTTTCCTGACAACTATTGGAATTGTCGTCAAGAAAAGTGTTATTTTATGTGACGCATCATTAGGAAAGGTAATCGTGATGATTTGATCGTCAGGGAAAGACCTCATATTCTTGACGATCCTTTGTCGGGAAAGACCCTGAACTTTGTCACTAAATTTTTGATTGTCAAGAAAAGTCCTACATTGAAACTTGTGAGGAAACTTTAATGACAATGCAATATCATTTTTCCTGACGACATCTGCATCACTATAATATATTAATTTCTAATTTGACCATTCAGCCTTTTTAAGCCCAGCAATTTTAGTGACAACAATGACCGTATCTTTTTTTTGAATAATAATTTTTTATTTTATTTTTAAAAAAATTTTAGCAGAGCTTCCCCTCACAAATGGACGAAATCTCCCTGCCAACAAGCCCAATTTCAAGAAAAAATAAAACTCCTGACTAAACCATCGCATATCATCTATTTAGACACTCCATCCAATCAAAATATAAAAGTATGCAAGCAAAATATCAACCAAAACTTCACAAATTATCATTAGTAGGCAACCATAATATGTCAAACCACAAAAGTTAACTATGTCAAACATTTACATATCATCACATTCCATGATTTGAAACCAATATAAACATTGCTATTTCTCCCTAGATAACTGCCATATACCTAACATATGCTAAAACCAAAAGATGGACTTTAATTCCATGGTCAACAAAATACTAGAGATCGATGATATCAAAATAGAAGAGTTCTTCAGTATGAGCCAAAAGCAATCCACAAGTTCACCCCAAACCTGTACAATAAAACCAAGAAAAATCTGAAATCAGAGAAATAATAGAATGGTATGCAAAAGATGTATTTTTGTTATGATGCATGGATGATCACTACAAATTGCTTAGGGACCACCTAATAATGAGTACAAGCAATGCATTAACTTGTACCAGAATAATTACTATGCTGCAAGTAACCAATACTATACCAGGAAATACAAATCATAACATAAATTGTTCCACATCTATTTGCTACTACCAAACTACCTAACTCCCCAGCTCGCATCTATTTGCTACTACCTAACTACATTACAGCAATACATGATTTACCCAATAAGCCTACAACTAAAGATTAGCATTTCATGATATTGGGTTAGCCAAGAATTAGACCTAAGCATCCTCCACCAGGTCAAGTTGATGGGGCGCAATATCTGTTCAAGCAGATGAAAGCAAAAGGCCATTTCTCACTCAGCTTTCAACCTTGAGTTAAATGAATGAATTAGCAGCCTCCACTTGGCACGACTGCGATCAAGTCCCACAGTCTTCTTGGAGAAACATGTTAGGTGTCAATCCAATATTTGCAACTAAACTACTCAATCAATACACACTTTCCTCATGAAACTAAACTTCTTGAAGTGCTAGATTTAACTCGTGTGCCGACTTGGCAATTGAACCACCTCTTCTGGAAAACCCCAAAACAAATAAGCAACAAAGAAATCATCATGTGCGTACATTGAGAACAGCAATTTAGGGAGAGAACAATCACCTGCAAAGTACAGGCAAGCAACGCTTAACCTTTTCAAGCTCAACAAAGCATGTATTGCAGCGTTCCAACCTTTTGCACCAACCCAACAAGAGTCTCAGAATTAGGAGACTTCAGATAATACGGATAATAAGAGATGTTTTGAGATATTGAATCACACCTTTGCTCTGCCTCAATATCCACTCCTACGGATGAAGGTGCTGATATAGAAGAATATATTACTGACCCAAATACTCTGACCAGCTTCAGAAGCATCTCCAATGAGATATTTTGATGCCTGCAGAATAATATGTATCACATGCCAAGAGAACAGAATAAGTAATCAGCTGGAAACAATTCACATTTACAGGCATGTCAAACCAATAAAGGCATCCATTCAAACAGTTCATGGAAAACCTTTATACAGCAAATTACCTTTTGTTGTAAGAAAAATCTGTGCAATTAGATCTGAGCAAGATAGATAAATATCACCATGTGAAAAGTTTAACTCAAAAGAGTTTTCTATTTATCCGTCGCCACGTAAAAATTCAATTAACTGTTTCTATATTACATTGTCACAACGTAAGAAGTTCATTAATAAAACCTGCCTTCTCAAAGTCCAGGGCAAGCCAGTTAAATAGATCTTGTACCTCAGTTTCTTTCATAGCTACCCATCTAACAAAAAGGAAATTTAACACAGAAGTTTCTATTGCCATTTCTCAGCTAGCAAAAGTTTAGATTAAAGCTCACAACGTGCAAAAGTTGGCAAATGGAAAGTGGGCTGGTAAGAAAAAGATATTAATGGAACAGAAATGATAACTTTTAACTAACATGCACCTATACAAAGAGATGTCAAGGCCAAATCATCATTATTTTTTTTCAATTTACTTTATTATGAAATCACGAGACTGACTTCACTGTACTGTTAGCAAACAGCTTAGATCTATTCCAGATATGTATCATAGATCCAACAAAATTCCAATTGGGCTGGTAAGAGAAAGATACTAATGGAACAAAAATGATAATTTTTAACTAAAAACACACCTATATGAAGAAATATCCAGGTAGAATCATCTTTTTCTCAATTTAAATAACTAAGAAACAGTGTGACTGGCTTCACTGTTATTTTAGCAACCAGCTTAGATGTATGTCAAATGTCTTGTAAATCCAACAAAATTCCAATTTGTAATAGGCTTAGACTATAAAAGAAGCCAGAGACTGCTGCTTAAACATCTTTACCTGTCCATCTCACTTTCAAGAGCATTTACAGGGCAAATGAGAAGAACTATGACACATCAACATAATGCCAAGAATTATGACAGCAGAAATTTGTCCTGTAAACCCTGCCATTCCACCTTTAATCTGGAAATGGAAGAACAACTGAATCTGAAGTCACACATCCAGTATAGATAATCACAGTAGCAACTAGCATTGCTGTCATAATTCTCACATCTCAACTCTGTTAGTAAGCTGAATTCAAGCAATGAGATTTAGGCCGTGGTAAGTCACTAACATGCTCCATTTTTTATTGCAACACTGGGATTTCTCCACCACCAAATTATCCTGGGCCATCTTCACTTTTTTGTTATATGGGTGATGCATAGGAAAAAGTGTCAGTAGTGTTCGAAGACTATCCTTGCAGTAAGTAGCAAGGATGCAACCACTGAGAACACATTGCTGGTTTCCCCATAGCCAGTCTTAAAATTTCTTTCAGTGTTCCATGCTGACCTGAAATTTATCTATTATCTTCACCCAAAACAAAATACAACTACCTCATATAAAAGCCACTCAAATGTAGTTCAAACTATGTAGACATACGTATAAAAAAGACTGGACAATAGTACACCCATTTTGACTAACCAAGTCGAAATTTCCTCTTTTTTTGGCCATGAAATCCAAACAACATTACCACACTTCTAATCCAATAACCAATATTTGCACCAGGACATATAACCCAAGGAAATATTTAGAAACTTAATTGTAATTTAAGTACATATTCTTAATCTACAACTGCATTGTATAAAAAATAATGCCATTTCATGAAATATCGATCTTTCATCAAAAGGGTAAGCTAAAAATTGTAACTTTTCTGTTAAATAGCGAAGCAACAAAACTGAAAAATTGAGCTGATTGCAAATTCCATAGTCAGACCTGAAAAATTGAATTGACTCACCAGTCAGAGCCGACTGCCAATTCCACTATTGTACTTTCAGTACCTTGAGCAGAGCTGAAAAATTGATGACTTGGAAATAGGAGGAGCAACCAAAACAGGATACCAACCGGGTCAATTTTCAAAGGATCTCTGTCGAGCAAGTGAGCATCAGCAAGAATGATATCAACAAGTTTTCTACTGATTATATCCCCGGGCACAAGAATTTAAACATCTTCCTGGGTTTTGACGAACAGAGAAAGAGAGAGATGAATAAAATACCCACTATAAAAATAAAAAATGAACCAATTAAGGACAAAATTGAAGGGTGATTTGGAGAAAAGGAACTGATTCAAGACAAAATTGAAGACAAAATTGAAGGATTATTTGATTTTTACATCACCTTAGACCATCGTGTTGTCTCTCTTGTTGAAAGAGATGAAGACAAGTTCGAGTTCGTTGTTGTTGGAGATATGAAGACAAGTTACAGATTTGGAGAAAGTGTTTCTTTGTCGTTGTTGTTCCAAAAGTAAGAGATACGGAAAAGTGTTTCTTTGTTTCCCGGTTTCCATGTCATAAGTCTGATTTCCTTCTAAATTTTTTTGGGTCCAAAATGGGGAAAAAACTGGTGGGAAAAAAATGGAGGGAGAATGAAAACTTTTCCTGACGAATTGATGTGGGGAAAGTAACTCTAGACAATGAAAAAAATAGAAAAACATGTTTGGCTTCTGAAGGACATTTGCCTGACGGGTTGTCATAAAAAGTATTGTTTTTGTAACGAATAGGTTGGTTGTCATGAAAAATTTGTCACGAAAGAAATAATTTTTTGTAGTGTTATATCACTCGCCATAAATACTAAAACTACCAAACAATTATGGATTTGATATTTTGAGATGGCAATAGATTATTTCACAATTAAATAGTGATAAGGTATTTAACCGTAGAAAATAATCATATAAATAATGAACAGAGAATATAAAAATTTATAGATAAATGTAACCATAAGAACAAATTAAATCTCACAGTATTAATTGAACCAAAACTTTGATTATACTTTGACTAGAACAAGGATTTAGCTAAGCCTCATGGTTGAATCGCAGTCGAAGATATAATTGGGGTTTGCTATTGCAGAGAAAAGAAAGAAAAAAATTAGCGCTGGCTAATTTTTATTCCAATGAATGAAAAGCTTAAAGTCAAAGTCGTCAATTGTCTCTTAACATGCATTCTTAATCTTTGTCTACAAAAGAAAGAAATTTGCCCACTAATGCTTGCCTACTTCTTCTCAAAAGGATAAGAATCCTTTTAGCACTAAAATACTACCATCATCACTAAAAAAAAATAAAAGATATTATTTCTAAAAATTAATCAATATCCAACTTCAAAAAAGGAAATAAATCTCTTGATTATTAGGAAATAATTGAGCAAGGCCCACTTCAAATTCCGTGATGTTCGGACTTCACAATAGGTTAAGACGTGCCCGTGTCTTGTAAAGTATAGTCCTCTGGAAATTTGGCTTTTAATGGCCTTTTTACTCCCTTTTCATAGCAATTTCCTGGAAGTAACACCAAAAATCAAACATGCGTAAAATCTAGTAATTAACACCATATCTTGGCAAAATAAAAAGGAAAAATATTCACAAATTATGTACACAATTAACCATCTAACAAATTACAATATTTTACTCGCATAATCTCTATGTTTTCGTAGGCCAAAATGATCAAACTCAATTGAGAGTAAATTGGTAGACTAAAAGTGATGTATTAGAAACTTAAAAAGTCACAACGATGATCCAAAGAGGTGGTGCAACTCAAGAAATTTGAAAAGATGAAGATTGGAAAGTCATAAAGAAAAAGGAGAGAAATCTCTGAGGAATTCTCAAGGTTTCTAGCAGTTGCTGCAAGGGATTTTGGGCAGAGAGTTTGAATTCAAAGAGCAAAATAGAGGAAGACAAACCCTCGAAGAATCCCTCTAGGGTTTCTCACAAACTCCCCATGGTTTATACACAAACCTCTGAGGGTTTGTTGGTGGCTGCAAGTTGTCAACTTGCTTGATTTTTTGTTTCCTTTCGCATCCTTGATATGACATAAAGCAATAATTTGTGTCAGTCTTTTGGGGTTTTAGGAGCTTCTTTTCTTGACTATTTGACACGAACAAACACGTTTTTGAGGAGAGAGTTTAGTTCTTGAGCAAGAACAACTTTCTCTCTAACTTAGCGTAGTTTTAGTTTTAACTTTAGTTTTCATTTCTTTGAAAAAACTTGAAGACCTCTTGGTGTAACAAAATATTTTTTATGGTAATGAAGATGCTGAAGCATAGAGATCTTGCTTTTTTAGTTGAATGAGCATTTTTTCTTCTTTATTCTCTTTAGTGTTGTATTAATGCTTAGTTACATTAAAGATATGAACATTATTGTTGAATCTACTATGTCTAGCTAAATCTCCTTGTTCTAAGGATAGATGAAACTATTTGTGCTTTAATTATGGTTGAATATAGTTGATTATTGATATACCATATACTTGCTAGTTCACTTATTCTTGCTTTTACATTTGTGAATGCTTGATCACCATTTTGCAAGGCAGGAGAGTTTTAATCTATGAAAGTAGTTGGTAATGATGGAAATGGAATAGGTGGAACCTAAGGAGTAGACACACGAAAGTAGTAATGCACTTAGTTGGATGATTTTGACACTTCCCATGCTTGATTAAATTTTCACTTGTGATTTCACCATGAAAGTAGAGAAACTATAGTATTGGCTAAATTCAGTTCACGAGAGCGAGTTCTGATGATTTAAATGAAATGCATCCTTAGCAAGACAAATGCATTAGTGATAATTGACTATTCCATCCATAATTAGGTACATCTAGTTGATTCTATACTTTAGGACATTTGTGTTTAGTTGACTTTTTTCAAGATGTTAATTTTTCTTGCATTGTTTTATGGTTGTTGCTATTTACTTAGTTAAAATTCTTGATTAGTCTGGATAGTTGAGTGAGCTAAAAGCCTTAGTAGTTGGAAATAATTCTCGTAGAATTGCTCCTAACTCCCTAGTACTGTGAGCCACAATGAATAAGAGAATTGGGATAAAATTTAAAGCATAAGTTAGAATCTCATCCTTGCAGTCAGTGTTTTCAGAACCGGACCGGATCGGTCGGTTCGACCGGTTGGACCGCGAACCGGCCATGTCACCAGTCCGGTCTAATGCTAAAGCCGGAAGGAGAACCGCTGAAACCCGGACGAACCGTGTGAACCGTGAACCGGCGGTTTTTTAAATTTTTCAACAAAATACCAAGAATGGTGTAGCCATGATTCGAACCTGAGTCTCCCAATTTGCATATGACAATCTTACCACTATACTGTAGTTAAGTTTGTTGAGAATTGTACTTGACTAAAAAATATATTGAAACATCAAGTTCTTCTCTTATTTTTTTTTTCAATTTTTTCTTCTTAACCATTTTTAACCCAAATATCCACAACAAGATTTTCTCAAGTCTTCACCATTATTATCAAGTTATTATCTTTAGCAAATTGTAAACAAGTTGAAAATTTCAACTTTTCTTGTTTTCCAACATCTTGGTAAGTTTAATTTTTTTCTTTTCAAGGCTTTTTTTTCTATATTATTATCTTTAGTTGATTTTTTTGCATTTTCTTCTTTTTCCCCTCAATTTTCATATGTTTCCCTCATTTTTTGTTTTATTTTTATTTGATTAATTAAGGATGAAATTTTTACAAAACTAGTGCACATCCATGTAGGAATTGGGTAGGAATTACAAATAATAACATTAGGCTGGTAAAAAATATGGTAGTTGGCACATAATCGAAGCTATTGATAATTGAATTTAAAATAATTAATGGTATAGGATCATTGAATTTAATATAACATGTTAATTAGTAATGTTTAGTAGCAATTAATTTTTTATGTGTTTAACTGTATATTTGTTTTTAAAAAATTTTTAGTTTTTTTTTTAGTTTGAGCAATTAGATTATATTTTTATAATCAAATTTTAACTTTTTCAGCTTAAGTTGATTAAATTGTGAAGGTGCTGTGGTTGCTTATCATGCCACTCATAAAAGTTTGCTATTCAAATGGTTTGTCTTAACTTGAACTCTTTTATGAATTTTTTTAAGGGTTGTAAAAGAATTTCAATATTTAATTCATTTATTTTTTGTGTTTTTATTTGTGATAATTGGTGAACATTTGGATTGTATCTATTTATGTTTATAATGAATTTATGAAAACTTGTGGTGAATTATGATATTTTAATTATATTTATCATTCCATGCTTTATGTATAACTTTTACGAAATTTATTATTATCATAACTTAAATTAAGTTATATTGGTAAAGTTCAAGTGTAGAATGAAACCTGCTTAGTACTAAAAAAAAAAAAACAGTGAACCTATGAACCGGCCGGTTGGACCGGTCGGACCGATCGGACCGCGAACCGGCAAACTCTCCGGTTCACTGACCGGTCCGAGTTTAAAAACATTGAACTTGCAGTATGAAATTTTGAGTTATGTTTAAAACTTGGATGCAGTTAAGGTTCAAATTCCCCATGCAATCACTAACTATAATTTTTTAGCAAGTATGCTATTTAGGGATTGGTGATTTATTGGGTAATTTCTTTCATTCGTTGTTTCTTTGTTCATCAAGTCTGATTGGTTATAAATAGTGTGTTATATAAAGTGCTTTTTAAAGAGAGTAATGAGAGTCTCCAACGAACTTATCAGGGGATTATCAAGTGTTTATTGTTGTGTGACTATTTTCATTAGTTTGAGATATTAATAAAGTTGCTATTTTGAATTGAGTTCTTTGTTCTCTTCTCTCTCTCTCTCTCTCTCTCTCTCTCTCAACACACACAGATATATATATTGTGTAATTGTTTTATGCCTTCAATTATATATTTCTGCGCTTTATTATTAGTAGAACTCATAAAATTTTGGAATTTTCCAAATTAACTGCGTGTTGTTAGACCTTATATTCCAAGCACATGAAGTCATGCCTTCAACTAATTAGCTAAACAAAAAACAAAAGATAAATAAATAAATTTATCAAATGAGGTCATAATAGCAACCGAACGCCAGCCCAAGTCAAATTACATAAATTAGGTTTTAATAGCATGAAAATGAAAACGTGGCTGGCAGTGTTGCTATCCTTCATAAGGAATAAATAAATAAATAAAGCAAGTCATTTTAACAGTCCAAAAAATGCCCCAAACAATCTATCTTTACTCAATATGGTTGAAAATAACGTTAGTACCTGTAATCTAAAAATCTTTAACAACTAAATGCAAAAGTTGCCCCCAATACAAAGTTAATTATCATTTTTGCATTATTCTTATGGAGATGTCTACACTGTTTACTACAAAGTCTTGAAAATTATCCCCAGAACAAAAGGGAGAAGAACAACTCTAACGATGTTGTAATAAACTCCATCTAAATAATGTTTAATAAACCCAAAAATAATAAATAACTCCAAATGTGGTGTTTGGCATATCTTAAGAATATTCTTTGGATTTAAGTTTTGATTCGGTGACACTCGAAATATTTCGACTTTTTATTTGCTTTTTTTTTTTTTTGCTTTAAAATGTAACATTGGAGAGACCAATTCAGTGGTAAAAGGAGGGAAAGTTTCCTTCTCTAATTTTTTGTCCTTCTTACAATTGGTACACTTAGGGCATTTCATGCATGCTCTTTACTTTCATCAGTTTTGGTTAACATTAGACTCAAATGGAACAAATATAAGAACATAGGGTTCAAAGTGTTCAATATGAGTTTAGAGTGCAAAGTGAGATCATATACAATTTAAAGGGTGCAAATTAAAATCAAATAGAAATTAAAGAGTGTAAAATGGAACTAGACTTTTTATTATTGTGTACACACTCCTATTAGTTTTGCTTACAATTTTAACTATTGGCCTCAAATGGGAAAAATATGAGAGTTTAGTGTCCAAATTGTTAAAAATTTAAAATTGAAAATTGAAACGCAAAGTGAAAGCTAGCTACAAGTTAGGAATCCAAAGTGAAATTAATCCAGTTTTTCTGTGTCCACTAAGGATACTTTGAGTACATGGAATTCGATCGATAGGCCACATTATAGCAGTTTGCGCAATTTGAGGTACAATATCGAAACTTTTTTAGTTTGAAGAGCTAAAATAAATGCAACCCATCAATTTGCGAGTTGGATACTTCACTTCGCACAATAAATAAAAACTAAATTGAATCCTTTCTTCAATTTTGCACATAAAATACACAAAAATGCTGTTCTCGTGATTCCTAAAGAGAAATATATGTTGCCCCCCAATGTTTGGCAACTATACAATGTCAGTCTCTAAAATTTTGAAAAAAAAAAAAAAAAGGTCCCCAATATTTGGCACATAATGCAAATTTTGTCCCAAAACTTTCCCAAACATTACTTCCGCAAACTAACACAACGGTAATATGACCTTCCCGAATCCGAATAGAATTCAGAAACCAACGTCAAATATACAACAAATTAAAGTGGTTACATTTTCTAAATATAGTTCTCAAAATATTAATACAGGCAACAAATTACCTTTAGGCATTGAACATCAAGTACTATTACTTAAACAATTTCAAAATAAATACAGAAAAAGATTGGCACGCATACGCATATATCAAGTCAAGTGGAGCAGTCAGCAGAGAACAGAACACTTGGCACGCATACGCATATATCAAGTCAAGTGGTGAGGATTCGTTTCGTTTTTCGTTTTTATCCTCTCTCCATTTCTTCTTCCATAAATTGTTGGTCAATGAAACAAACCCCCCGCCAGCCACTGGTCCCCCAATCGCATCCGTTTGGCGTCCAGACGACACGACACTTAAAAAAAGAGTCCAAAACAAAGGGAGCCATGCCAGTTTCTGAGTCGTCCGGACGACTGAAAAGTCGCAAATGCAGCAGCGAATATAGCAATTAGACAGACAGACTAATGCAATAAAAATATGTCAGATTCAACGACTGTGAGAGAATTGATTTGCACAAAACTAACACTAGTCAATTACGTGCCCCGCCCCAGTTGTGGGTTCTTGGTCTCCGAGTGCTCAAAGATCTTTTTAGCTGCAATTTAGGACCGCCAAATATAATTTAGACGACAATGAGACGAGAAACTCTGGCTGGTTACAAGCTAATTTTGGAGAATCAAACAAATTAAATTTAGTTCACTCGTTTGGCAATCTATTTCAGTTTAGTCATCGTCAGCAAGCAAGTATATTATGGTACATATGAATTCGCAATTCTCCAACAACTTGGTTTCGAAAATCTGGCATGGCTACTGCTGCTTAAACCTCAGTTCTGCAATTTGTTCTAAGCAAGATTGTTAATGAATCAATTCAGCTGTATTTGTTTCGAAAATTAATAATAATAATAAATGTTGTTGGCTTCTTTTTCCCTGTAGCATTGAGCCTTCCTTTCACGACTTGTATTATTAAAAGTCAAACTCGTAGATGGTTGGTTAAATCTAGATCTTAAATCAAAGTTAGGCAAACATAGATCTCAACAGTGTGTGGAGAGTTTTGGGGGGGAAAATAAATGCTTTAAAAAAAAAAATGCTTTAAACCCCCTATTAACCCGTACATAGTAGTGCAATTACTGCAAAGCAGAAAGTCGGGACTGCGGTCCTAACCCTTAGCTCTCAGAGTTTGAAAGAAAGAAAGAAAGAAAGAAAGCGAGGTTCAACAACAGGCAGCGGCCGTCCCGTTCCAGACACAATAATATATAGAATAGGATACTAAACGCAGGAAAAATAGAGAAAAGGACTCTTGCTAGTTTGGTCAACGCGTTCTTCCAAAGATGCGATATTTGGAGATCTCTGGATTGAAATCTGATGGCGATTTGGTGCCGCAGGACAGAGACTTGAAAAATGACATTCCCCTAAAGAGAGTAGGAGCCACTGGTATTATTAATAGGGATGACACAGAGGGCTACTACGAAGAAACAGCAGCGTTTCTCATGACCAACTCAGAACCTTTCGAGGTTGAACAATCTGCAGTTCCTGATCAGGAACAATAGGATACTAAACGCAGGAAAAATAGAGAAAAGGACTCTTGCTAGTTTGGTCAACGCGTTCTTCCAAAGATGCGATATTTGGAGATCTCTGGATTGAAATCTGATGGCGATTTGGTGCCGCAGGACAGAGACTTGAAAAATGACATTCCCCTAAAGAGAGTAGGAGCCACTGGTATTATTAATAGGGATGACACAGAGGGCTACTACGAAGAAACAGCAGCGTTTCTCATGACCAACTCAGAACCTTTCGAGGTTGAACAATCTGCAGTTCCTGATCAGGAACCCTCCAAAAGAACAGGTAAATGATGATCTCCTGTCTAAGTTCTTGAGTTCTTTTTTGACTCGGTCATGTAGCCTGATGTTTGAAGCTGTTTCTTCCTCGTCTAGAATGAGAGTTCTGAATCTCACTGCTCCCACTTCCCACCCCCCTGTCTACTGACTTTGTTGTTTCGTAACGCATTTGCAATTGCAGGGACAGTATGGACTGCAACAGCACATGTAATAACAGGTGTGATAGGGGCAGGTGTCTTGTCACTTGCATGGAGCACTGCCCAGCTGAATCTCACTTTCATTCTCTTCCAATTATTCAGAAATAGAAAACATTAATCCTCAAGGGTCAGTCTAAAACCATTTTTATTAATAAATCCGAAAACCCAGAAACCATTTTGACTTTTCACCGACAAAAACTAAAATCCCAGAATCCCAGAACCAGAAAGCAAAAAAGGAAACTTCCAAAACTATTACTCCCACAAACTAACATAACGGTAATATGCCCCACCTGAGTCCTAATAGGATTCAGATACCAACTTAAACTATCCAACGCAAATAGCTGTATAAATTCTGAATCCTCACATTGCCGCAGAATTTCTTCGTAGGAGTCCTTAAACCTAGTTTTCTTTTCAACATCAGCAGCAGTTGTTCTTGAGAAGAAGACGAGAGACAGAGATTTCTGATCACTGGGCTTCATCATTCCAGTTCCGTTTTAGGTTTTCTTCAATTATTTCTTTTCATTGTTAGTTTTAAGTAATCATTAATAGGAAGAAATCGTAGTTCTAGCATCTAAGTTGGTGGAAGGGAAGATATGGCGGTTCTGAATTTCCGCCGACGCCCTCGAAAGAGCAAGTATCCTCAAAGATCAAAGTTCGATTCCGCTCAAGATGAGGAGATACTTTGTCCCGTGATTGAAAAAACAGTACCTTTCAAGAAATCCATTGTGAATAAGGGTAAAAAGGAAGTTCTTTTGGCAAGAACTACTGGAATCAGTTCCCAGAATCACAATAATCTACGCAGAACCAGGAAAGGTTCCGCTGATGATCTTTCGGGATTTCGCACATTGACTGAAAAAACAGGGAAAAATTGGGAGAATAGAGGTAAAAGAACGGTTCAATTGGCAAGAGATACCAAAATCAGTTTGCCCATTCTTGATGATCATCAGCTTCTCGATCAAGAACCATTCTTGAACGAAAAATTAGCGGCCACACAGGAATCTACTGGGCAAAGCAAGACGAAGATTACTTTTAAGAAGAAACTAGTTGTAATGATCGATATTCCTGATCGAGTGACGAAGCAGAAAACAGGCGATATTTGTTCTCTTCCGTCAGAACAGAACCAGCGGGAACAACTTCCACTGGAGTTGAAGAAGTACGTAAAGGAACTTGGGGCAACAGGGGAACCTGTTTTGGTGATTGAAAAGAAATTGTCTTCTTCAGACGTGAACACTGGGCTTCAAAGATTGTCGATTCCGGTAAAACAGGTTCTGAATCACGGGTTCTTGACAGAAGAAGAGAGGAGGAGATTCAACATTGATAACAAACAGCAAGAAATTAACGCCCTCTTAATTGAGCCATCACTTGCTCAATCAGGAATCAAGTTCAAAAAGTGGTATATGGGGAACTCTGAAGTGTACGTGTTGGTGAGTGGCTGGAATGAGGTTGTGAAGAGGAATGGATTGAAACCAGAAACACCAGTGCAGCTATGGTCATTCAAGAAGGATTCACAATTGTACTTTGTTTTGGTGCGGTTGTAGTGGGGCTGCTCTGCATAGCGATGCTTAATTTGTAAATTACATTCTTGAATTTTGACGTAATTAACTGCAGTTTAATCATGTTAATGTAGGATGAAAATTATTTTCTTTGGCTGTCTCGAAAGTGATGGATATATATAGATAGATAGCTAAATCTAGATCGATCATTCATATATGTTTGTACTTATAGAAGATTAGTAATATTTCATGTGTTCGTTGTCCGTGTATATATTTTCCATAATATAGTTTTCTATGGTACTAAATTTCTAAGATGTAATTTCTTTTAATGGTTTCTATGTACTGTAGTGATGTCTTTGTGTATTCCTTTTGCTTATGTGGATGTTTCGTTTGATGTCATTTGAGTTAAAATTTTTCAATTTTTTATTAATTAATTGTTCTCCTTCATCTGATTTCATGATTTTATTTTCAGTTTTAGTCTATTTTTTTTTCATTTTTTTTTGGGTGTTCAATTTTTTTTCCGAATTTTTTGGGTGTTAATGTTTGATAGTGCTATTTCAGTTAGGTGTTAATGATTAATCGTGCTATTCATAGCTAATTCATAAAGCAGCTAATTCATAGCTAAGCAGCTACTGCTTACAAAATCATCAAGAGGCTTCAGAGCCAGTATTCTATACAAGAACTAGGAAGATTTAACTCTGCACGAAGGTTGAGAGCCTCCTGATGCTATACAAGGTTTTTAAAGATACTAAAGCTCCAGTAATGCCACAATCTGTACACTCTGGCTGCAAAAGTTACCCTTTGAACAGCAATAACAAGCGAATTATGAGAACATTTCTGAATCATCCATTGCGTTTGCGATTCCCACACACCAAGCTACACTTCTGCACCAACTCCCAAACATAAGGTAAGAGAGTTTCAGGAGCATAGCAACACATTTTTTCTTACACAAGGGACCGACCTCTATTTCCCAGAATAGTAACCTGTATATAGCATGGTTCGCCATCGCGGGTCGCGGTCGCGTCGCAGTCTCGGTTGTTCCACATTCATCGCGGCATATCGGTTGAATATCGGGTGATATTGACATTATAGTATATAAAAATTTTCAAAAAATCTGAAAAAATTATTAAAAATAGAAAATACCATTAAAAACACAATTATCAAATTAAATTTACTAAATACCTACATTATCATATATAGTTACTGATTATTAAATAAAATAATTCTGTCATTACCATAAGGGCGTATAGCATTAGCAATAAATGATTTTAGAATCAAATGCTCTATTTTATATGAGATAAAAAATTATATATAAGAATAAAATCATCATATCTTACATAATACAATACAAATCTCTGTACACAAAGGAAATAGCGGTATTTAGTTCAATACAATAAAAGAAACAAATGCTTATCAAATAATATTATGAAATGCAAAGACATAAAGAAACAAGCATTTTCACTTAATTACTTGGGCCAAACTTGGACTTTAGGTGCTTCCAATTTTTCCTTCTATTTTTTTCCCTATCTCTGGGTCTGGTACAAAAGCCCAGCTTCTCTTAGCATAATACGTTAATTGCATGTTACTTCCAAGACAAAACATGCAACAACAGCATTTTTGCACTATACAATTGTCCTTTTTTAATCTTTCCAGCTTTTCTACAAAGCAGAGACCCATAAATGAGAAAGGACAAGAGAAAAAAAGACATACCAAGGTGTAGGAACAGATGATGCAGAATCCAACTCAGCAAGCCCGTCTTTCCACTTCTTCAGCAGCCAAAGAGAGTATACAATCATTGCAACTAGTGTTGTTCCTCTCAGATTTAGCCGTCCCTTTCTTCATTTTTTTTTTCAATTTCCCTTTCGTCCTTTTTCTCCTCCTTCACGGCCAGATTGAAGACCCCGTCGCCCGGTACAGATGACGAAGAAATTGAAGACCCCTTCAGCTCCAGATGTGATATTCAGTAGTCACCTTCATTCTTTCTTTTGCTTTCCCTTTCCCTCTGTTGTCTCCTTCCCTCTCTGCCGTCACCCTCTGTTTTTCTCCTCTCCTTCCTTCATAGCCGGACGATGAAGAAATTGAAGAACCCCTTCAGCTCGCTTCTCCAAATAACTCCAGATATTGCTGTGACCCTCGTTCCTTCTTTTCCCTTTTCCTTTCTCTCTGTTTTCTCCTTCCCACTCTGCAAAAGGCACACAGAAATTGACAGTATGTTTCTCCCCTTATCCTCCCTTTCCCCTAAATCTTGTCTTTGTGGCTAAAAAAGAAAACAAGAAAGCATGGGTGGCCGACTCTCTCTGTTCTTGTTGTTGTTTATGATTTGACCGGTTCATATCCGAGTCGAATCCGAGATTTTGGCAGGTATCCTTCTACACGGTTCTAACTCGGTCAATGTCGACTGATTCGGAGAGATTCAAATTGGATATGGTATAATCCGCGTTTTGGGTATCAGTATCGGAACGGTAGGGACTGTTCGGGTTATGACTCGGCCGAGTTGGCGAACCATGGTATATAGTCAGATAAACGTTCTCTAAAAGCAAGGCTTTATGCTTACCCCAGACTACTTTAAACCAGGGCACTTTAGAATAAGTTTGAACAAGCTTACTTATGGCACAATCGACTGTGTAACCTCCATTTAAACTAGGCAACCAGTAATGAGTCTTCAAGACCAGAATTTGGCAGTACATGAGGCCCCTTAGGATGCCATACCACAAGAAAGTCGTTTTGCCATTACAGACAATCAAACTGGATACATTCCTTTGCAACAGGCCTCAATTTAAGAAACCTGTGCCAATTCAAAGAAAACAAAGGCTTAGCCATAACATTTAAACACAGGATAGTCCATTTACCCATATTATTGTATATGTTACCAGAAGTTCTATCACTGATGAGTCATGTCATTTGAGATCTTGTTATTTCACTTTGCTAATGCAGAAACTTGGATAACTCATAGAGTATGGCACTCCTGGTGCCCCTCTCTCATTTTATCCGTCAAAAACTAAACAAAGCATTTGTCTTTGTGTGTTTGGAATAACGAAACTGAACAGGACTGAACGAAGTAATGTCATCGGGAGCTACTTAAAGCTATCGACATAATCTGGAAGTTATATCAGGGTCAACAGACAAATCTCGAACTACATTGTAAATAATCCTGTCATACTAACTCGAGCATCTGAATTAAGTTTCAACGAACCATGAGGTGGTTTTTCTCAGACTATCGCACAACATGATAACTTCTTTGGATTTGACAAAACATATCGCCCCAAATAACAATCCGAATCACCTCTAAAGTGGGAGCTACTTAATCGGCCAGAAATTCCAAACTATTCCAATAATCGATCAACCTGCCATACTATGTTGTCCATGCCCCAACTTACATTTCAAAAACGGCTGTGATTCCTTACTAATCATAGAAACCAACAGACCACTACCGATATGAAAACATGAATATGATCCTTTGATGCTCTGTGATTTGAGAAAATCAAGGGACAAACAATGCTTTCAAGCTCGTGCACCTACGTAACAAAAATCCGAATCTGCTCAAGAACCTTCTTCATACTTCCTTTGCAACAGGCCCCTCTAAAAATAAATGCAAAGTTGTTTCCTCCGTAGCACGACAACAATCACAAATGGAAGGAATGTTTAGGCCTCGTGAACGTAAAGTAACATCTAGTGGAAGAAAATTATACACCAAACGCCATGTAAAAAATGATAACTTCAATGGTAGAATCGGGTTCCAAAACAGAGAATCCACAAGGGATATCCTCCTTTGCCGCAACAGTTCCATGCTAATTTCACTAAAAAAAGACCAAGTTGGACGGAAACCATATCATTCTATCAGCCTGATCAGGTTGAAAAAAAAAAAACCTCTTGGATAGCCTGTACCACATGAACTGGCACTGTAAAAGGCATTGCTCATTCCAGGCCTCTCCTGAAACGAACTCAGCCACCAAAAAATGTGGTGACTCAGATCTATCCAAAATGGAACACAGTGGCTCATCAAATAACCATCTATCTCTCCAAAAATTCACCAATCCCTCTCCCAACAACCATCTAATATTCTACTCCACCAAGTGTTGCATCTCCTCCAAGTGCCTCCATAACATTGTAGGGCAAGGGAAGGAGGTTGAGACTGGATGAAGACCTTTTATGTATTTTTCATGCATAAAGTCAGCCCAAATAGACTCCTTAAGCCAAAGCTTTCACCAAAACTTGCACGCAAATGCTCGAGACATATCCTCAAATGACTGAAAGCCTAGACCACCCTTCTTATCCCAAGATGACCACGTTAATCTTGATATGAGGAAAATATGGTTGTAGGAGAGTGTTAAATATTTTTTGACTGTATGAGTTGCTTACTTATGAAGTTAGGTTAAGGTGAGAGATTGAATTGAATACGATTAAATTTGAGTAGAATTATCTCTCCTTTACTGGACGTTATGAGCATTTTGGTGTAATTTGAATGGTTACATAATGATTGATTATCTAACCATAGGGTTTGAATTTGAAAAAAAAATATATGTGTTTTAGATAGACACTTGAATCATTGGTTTTGTAGTTTAATGATATTGCTTGAGAACAAGCAAGGATTCAAGTGTGGAGGAGTTGATAAGCGCTAATTTTATGATTAGTTTGAAAGTGTTTTATATTGTTCTTGAGTCAATTTGTGGAGTTAAAAGATATAAGTTGCTCCTTTTGGCTTTTAATTTGCATCTTGAGATCATAGTTGAAGTAGTCGTGATTATGTTCGGTGCCAAACCAGGAAATATAAAAATTTCTGCTCCAAAAATCTAAATTCAAGTATAATGGCAAGTAGGATAGAATCATCAGGAATTGTGTTATTTATTTTTCTTATAAAAATGACAATAAATGAAATGGGGGGTTTAAGTAAATTAATCTAAGGTTGCATTTGATAAAACTGAAGTCTGAAAACTGAAATATGAAATTTAAAGCCTAAATCCATTGAATTATTAAATTGTTAAGTATTAAATCAAATATTAAGTGTATATCAAATTCAATGATAAATAAATAACTTATCACTTATTTTTGGGAACAAGTTTTGCCTAGAAAGTTCAATACCACTTAATTAATTCAAATGTTCAATTTTTAGTTATCAAACACATTTGAACTTATTAAGATGTAAATCTATTAAATTTAAGTGCTAAACGAGATTATCAAACAGGGGC